TCTTTGATGTCACTTGCTGTTGGGAAAGAAATCCCGAATCCCAAACGTAGATACGAATCTTCCGCCGAGAATACTTCTCAGGAATGCGCATTATCGTTGAGCGAGGTAAATTGGGACCAGTCCAGTGGAAGATTTACACAGGACCATTGTCCAGAAGATTCACGAGGCTGGCGCGATGTTCGCCCCAAAAAAACTTGCACGTAGTCGGATGAACCAGAAGCTACATAAAAAAATTCGGTGCCTTCTGGAAAAGAGGTCTGCGCAATTTTTCAAAAAGCTGCCTACAGGAGATATAGATGTGCCAGAATTTTGCAAAATGCGTAACCGCTCTAAACCAGAAATCCGCCAGCGGAGCATAGGAGGACAAGCCACCATTACAGAACGCTCCCGGAGAAAACAGGAATGCGATGTTTAAATACATATGACACCCCCAAGGAAATAAACTAACCGCGTTTCAATTGAGGCACCCGAAGGGGGAATTTACGAGTGACTCAGTAGTGATAGGTCTACAGAGAATACTGCGCAGGTCTATGTTCAGCCCCAGCTTCCTTGCCACATCCATTCTTGTCAAGGTTTACATATGAACCAAATTGGTCCCCAAGTTGGAGGACGATTGTCAGCTCTTGCACTGGTTTAGGCACGTGTCAATTGTTGAATTTTCCAACCCTAACATAACGTTTACGTGATAACCTCTGTTATTTTGCACTCAGTAGTTAGTTCGCACCCGGTCCCCATCATGACGCTAACCAATGCAGGTACCTCCCCGCAGGCGTCGACATTCCACAACGGATGTGGGCGAAATGGCTGTCCGTGCGAAAAGAGGTGTGCCAAGGCCTTGAGGCTCGCGCGTTGAGGCCGAACGAAGTCCATGCAAGGATCCTGGGGGAAACCTCGTTCATCCTGGCGAATAATTTCTATCTGGAGTTTTGTCAGTCAACTGACGAAATTCGCCTACCCTCTGCTTGGAAGAAAGTTATGTTTACGTCAATCTACAAAACTGTTGACAGACTATCGCCCGAAAGCCATAGGACTATAAACCTCATTAGCGTGCCCTGCAATCTGAAGCGAGATATCTTAGACGACCTTACTTTCAACAACTTGATGTCTCCAGGTCAACACGGATTCCTTCAAAGCCTTTCTTCTGCAATCTGAAGCGGATATCTTAGACGACCTTACTTTCAACAACTTGATGTCTCCAGGTCAACACGGATTCCTTCAAAGCCTTTCTTGCGTGACAAACATGCTCGTGGTTATGGACAGCTTAACCCAGGCCAAGGGCGACAGACTAATATCGAATAACATATTTTTCGACTTCTCAAAAGCATTTGAACAGTACCCACACGTCCCGCTGCTCCAAAAACTTGAGTATTGGTGGGATTCAGGTGAAGTCCTACACTGAATCTGGGCGACCTTATCAGACAGATCATTCCGGGTGAAAGTAGGCCCAACCTACTCTCCTCCCAAGCCGGCTTCCACGGAATTCCTTGAGGCCCCGTTTCGGGACCACTGCTGTTTCTGTTACACGACGACGGCCTTCCAGATGTTCTCATAATCCCATGTCCACTTTTTGTGGACGACTCGAAACCCTGTAGTTCCAGTGCCAGCGCCCTCCAAATGGATGTAGACGCTGCGAATCAGTGATCGTTGGACTGGCACCCTCTTCTCAACGACTAAAAGTGCCTCCATATGTTATTTGGAGGAGACTCAGTGAATGCCTTTATCGTGAATGGTGAGAAAAGACCAGAATACATCAGGAAGATAGATGTCCAAAGGCTTTGGGTCGTCTTGGTCTCGCACGGGGCGAAAAATCCGAGCAAATGGAAAGTAGCCCTCTAGACCACCAAGACAGAAGGCAGACATGTATGCCTCATAGGCCCCTTAAGAACCTTGAACTCTAATCCGGCCCACAGATATTACGTCCGCTAACTTCTCCGGTTACGTAATTCTCGGCTGTTCACTTTCGGAGGCAGCAGAGAAAGTGTTGAAATGATTATACACAAAATACAGCACCCTTTTCAACATACTGCCCTAAATAGTGGTCCATAGCCGCACGCACGGAGACCTGGTCCTTGCCAGAAGACTCTGACGCGGAGATCTCGATACATGGCTACTCCTTTTTTCGAGTTGACTCAAAAAGGGAGGACTAGTGGAGTTGCTTTTCACACACATACGGCCCTGCCCATCCCGATTATCCACTCTGATACCACTCCTGGACCTTTTTGCGATGCCTTGCGGATTAAAGTCCCGCTGCGCGGACAAGATTCTTCATTTCTCGGCGTGGACTACAGCTATCATCTCGGTCCTAAGGAAGATGACCACTTCGTCATACAACCCCCTAGCAACTCTCCTATAGCTACTTCATCACTCATCTCTTTCTGGCAGGTGATTTTACCGCTCCAAAACCTGAAAGGAGCGCCAGCTCGCCGGATCAAGTGAGATTTCTGCATCGGTACTGAATAGTCTTCCAGTAGAGCACCTGGACACATGTCGTCGCACCCACCAGATACCGCGCAGGACAACTACCATCCCTTCTGGATTCGGTCCTCACAAGCGAAAGAAACTTCGTCGAGCAGGTGATAATCAAAGTTTCACTGTGACACAGTGACCACTATGTGCTAATCTTTGATGTCACTTGCTGTTGGGAAAGAAATCCCGAATCCCAAACGTAGATACGAATCTTCCGCCGAGAATACTTCTCAGGAATGCGCATTATCGTTGAGCGAGGTAAATTGGGACCAGTCCAGTGGAAGATTTACACAGGACCATTGTCCAGAAGATTCACGAGGCTGGCGCGATGTTCGCCCCAAAAAAACTTGCACGTAGTCGGATGAACCAGAAGCTACATAAAAAAATTCGGTGCCTTCTGGAAAAGAGGTCTGCGCAATTTTTCAAAAAGCTGCCTACAGGAGATATAGATGTGCCAGAATTTTGCAAAATGCGTAACCGCTCTAAACCAGAAATCCGCCAGCGGAGCATAGGAGGACAAGCCACCATTACAGAACGCTCCCGGAGAAAACAGGAATGCGATGTTTAAATACATATGACACCCCCAAGGAAATAAACTAACCGCGTTTCAATTGAGGCACCCGAAGGGGGAATTTACGAGTGACTCAGTAGTGATAGGTCTACAGAGAATACTGCGCAGGTCTATGTTCAGCCCCAGCTTCCTTGCCACATCCATTCTTGTCAAGGTTTACATATGAACCAAATTGGTCCCCAAGTTGGAGGACGATTGTCAGCTCTTGCACTGGTTTAGGCACGTGTCAATTGTTGAATTTTCCAACCCTAACATAACGTTTACGTGATAACCTCTGTTATTTTGCACTCAGTAGTTAGTTCGCACCCGGTCCCCATCATGACGCTAACCAATGCAGGTACCTCCCCGCAGGCGTCGACATTCCACAACGGATGTGGGCGAAATGGCTGTCCGTGCGAAAAGAGGTGTGCCAAGGCCTTGAGGCTCGCGCGTTGAGGCCGAACGAAGTCCATGCAAGGATCCTGGGGGAAACCTCGTTCATCCTGGCGAATAATTTCTATCTGGAGTTTTGTCAGTCAACTGACGAAATTCGCCTACCCTCTGCTTGGAAGAAAGTTATGTTTACGTCAATCTACAAAACTGTTGACAGACTATCGCCCGAAAGCCATAGGACTATAAACCTCATTAGCGTGCCCTGCAATCTGAAGCGAGATATCTTAGACGACCTTACTTTCAACAACTTGATGTCTCCAGGTCAACACGGATTCCTTCAAAGCCTTTCTTGCGTGACAAACATGCTCGTGGTTATGGACAGCTTAACCCAGGCCAGGGGCGACAGACTAATATCGAATAACATATTTTTCGACTTCTCAAAAGCATTTGAACAGTACCCACACGTCCCGCTGCTCCAAAAACTTGAGTATTGTGGGATTCAAGGTGAAGTCCTACACTGAATCTGGGCGACCTTATCAGACAGATCATTCCGGGTGAAAGTAGGCCCAACCTACTCTCCTCCAATGCCGGCTTCCACGGAATTCCTTGAGGCCCCGTTTCGGGACCACTGCTGTTTCTGTTACACGACGACGGCCTTCCAGATGTTCTCATAATCCCATGTCCACTTTTTGTGGACGACTCGAAACCCTGTAGTTCCAGTGCCAGCGCCCTCCAAATGGATGTAGACGCTGCGAATCAGTGATCGTTGGACTGGCACCCTCTTCTCAACGACTAAAAGTGCCTCCATATGTTATTTGGAGGAGACTCAGTGAATGCCTTTATCGTGAATGGTGAGAAAAGACCAGAATACATCAGGAAGATAGATGTCCAAAGGCTTTGGGTATCTCGCTCTCCTCAGAGTTGTCCTTATCACTGCACCGTGAGAAATCGGGCCAAAAGGCGTTCGCCGCTGTACGGATGATTCGGTGCACCTTCTCCAGTGTTACTCGCATGGACATCCAAACACACTATAGGGCCTAAGCCAAACTGATCCCTGAATATTCGAACCCAGGTTTCCTCCCAGGAAACGCGAAAGGCGTAACCCTAAATCTCGGGTATTAATCAATTAAACCATGAGTGTGCTGTGTCCTTCAGGTGACCTTGACAATGGAGCGAAACACAATTGATCGAGCCGATAATGCGCACGGTGGTTCGAAATATCAAAACGATTGTTAACATTCTTTGTGACAGAAGTGAGAAGAAAAGATTCGATGAAACAGATCAAGTTGAGATCACCACTAGTGGAAGTGGTTCAAGGCTTGCAATTTTAACGGAAAAGTAATTTCTGTTTCAAGTTGTTTGTTCAGGATTTGCAGTGGCATAATTTCTGACTTCGGGGAAGAAGAATGCATGCTTAGTAGGACCCTGAATCCAGATGATATAATTGACTGTAATGGCGGATGTGTGATCCCTGGTCTTATAGATGCCCATACTCATCCCGTATGGGCTGGTGATCGCCTGCATGAATTTACACTGAAAGTTGTCTCCTTCCGATACCTAACAGCGATTTCAGTTAAAAGGTGCTTCTTATATGGAGATCCATGAATCAGGTGGTGGAATTAATTATACAGTATCCAAAACGTCGGCTGCGGATGAAGCCACTCTGTACAATCTTCTCAGGCAACGGCTTTTGGTATACAACACATTTGGTTTCAACTTTTCCAGGGGATGATTCGTAAAGGTACAACAACAGTTGAGTGTAAAACGGGTTACGGCTTGCACTGGAGTGTCGAAGAAAAACTACTGAGGGTTCTGAACAGAGCGAAAATGGAGTTACCTATGGACATATCAATAACCTTTCTATCAGCACATTCAGTTCCCAAGTACGTAGAGTTGGCCTGTGTAACATTTTCAGGGACTCAAATGCATCTGAGTTCACTGAGCATATTGTTTCTGAACAGATACCAAAACTAAAGAACCTAATTCAACAAAATATATCCGTGGACAACATTGACGTGTTTTGCGAAAAAGGTGAATAATTTTCGCATCCGTGAGTGTGATAACTTTCACAGGCGTGTATGACATCGAACAAAGCGCCAAAATACTTCGAGCCGGTAAATCGATTGGACTCAACCTCAACTTTCATGCCGATGAGCTTTCGGATACAGGAGGAGCAGAGGTAAATTAATTTGTCTAGATTTGTTTAGTGAATTTTCTGGCAGATTCTATCTGGGCGGTAGTGCAAATGTTTTGTCATACAACAAATTTAGGCAGAGAAGAACGTACATTAGTGTTCCACCTGTTGAAACGTCCAAGCATCGTATTAGTTATTAGTTCCCGTATCGGTTTGTTACACCTGCTACAACAGTTCACGTCGTTATTATTTTGAGCTTTACCACCTTACTGTAAGAAACACTCCGAGGGATGTAATGTTCTCAGGTCAAAAACTGGAATCTCCAAGCTCATCAGGGTATCTGATATTTCGTTGGTGCTTAAATAGCAGAGTAACATGGCACTTCCTAAAAAATGAGGGTGTAATCTACTCAAGGTTGGAGGCGGCTAATTATAGAAGGGCCATAAAGTCTGCTTATTTTGTAATGAGGGGTGGATTTCACAATAGCTAAATTTAAGAAGCCCTAAAGCGCTTTCATCAGGGTTTCAGTTTCAGAATCAACGTGAACTTCTCTTATGATTGTAGGGTTAAATCAGTTGCAACTATTTACTCTGTCACTCCTACACAGGCTCCCGAATACCAAACGGCGTTACATCCTGAATGAATGGTCAATTCCTTCCTTAAACAAAATCATTTAGTTCATCCACAAGTTGTCTGTCCAGAAAGTTCCTTTCTAACCATTGTTGTCAGCAGTTTTCAATCAAAAGAACTAGAGCGCAAGTGTCTCAGGTTAACATTTGTTATAATTCTTGAAATGTCTTTTTGTAGACAAGTCAGCTTATCTATCAGCTGTTGACTAAACACCCTACGTAAATTCTTCAACAACGTAAACTCTCCAACAAAATAGGATTGGAATCAAACGTACTCAGTATCATGGCCACTAAACGAGCTTAATAATTATGTGCTATTATTTCTTTACGCCTTCAACTCAGTCTGCAGTTTTTTCGCTTTTTGCTGTCACAAGATATATCATCCCGCTAAACTTGTACGGCTGGAACAAGATTTCAAGTCTGAGAATTCATAAAGTTTTGAGATTGCGACGCGGGAGCGAGTCAGACAATAAAATATTTAAGAATTGTAGTAAATATTCGGTTTCCCACGTGCTAAATTTTTCAGAAAAGTAGTCAATATAAATTGGTATGGTATCAGCTACCCATTTTTAATCTGGTACCACAATTATTCAGTGTGTAATAAGAAGTCGTTTATTACGCTTACAACCATGCAGTATGCCGAAGTTTCTGGTCGAAATGGCCACAAGCGGTTTGGTTGAAAGATTTACGCCCTTAATCCGTCTAAACAACAGATGCAACAAGACCACGTTTTTAAAATTTTCTAACCCAAATATGCTGCAGCCAGGGAGAGCAGGTGCTGGACAACTGCCATTGTGATTGGTATAAAACTTTCAAACAAGCCAAAAAGTGCGCTCCAAGCCAAACAGCGACAATAGAATGAGTTACAACGCTATATTTACATAAAATTCACAAACTCGCGTGAGCTATGAACGAACATTCTGTTGGATTTGGGTCACAAACCATTTTTGCTTTGCTGGAGTCATCAGTTGGTAAAAGTTTGACTGAAAACAAGTGATTCTCCCTCCGAGAATGCGACTGCAAAGTGTTGAGTCCGAATTACTTAAAGATGTTGAGTAACATTTTGGCTGTAGGAGCGAGTGAGCTACAGGATCGCTGTAGAGGGGTGCTTTAAATGGAGAATATCCAAAGAAAATTTTCAAAATGTATGTTGTTTTTTATTTTATAACAGGGACGAATAAAGCATATATCACGTTGACAAATCATTCCATATCATACTTGTTTCTAATAGACACGCGAAATAAATTTAAATCATTTTATTTTGTTACACCATAGGGATTCCTTTTTTGATATTTTTGTTCCTTCTGCCGTTGTTATGTTTGCACTTGGCAGCTACATTTTACCAAGTTGATGTAGTTGAAGCAGTTATATGTGAAAAGTGGACCTCGTAACAAAATATATTCGTGTTTTTACAGTTTTCCATGCAATGCACTCGTGATACAACGCAGCAGCATAGAAAGCACACTTGAACTTAAAGTCATCACATAAAACACGATGGATTGGGTGCACAACTAGAAGTACAAGTTACTATCAAGCACAATATGTATAGCTGCGATTACTTTTTGCAAAATCACATGTCAGCTCTTATTCTGTGGCACAATAAATCGTGGATATTTTGGATAAGTATCTAGCGCATTGTAAACGATGATGTCCTTTTTGGGTCGGGTCATTTTAGTTTGAACCAGTTCCAAAACCCTTACACCCATTGCAAGGTAAACCTAGGATAATGTGTAATCCATTAATATTTTCCTAAAGTTTGATTATATTTTTTACTTTTAGAGACAAATGTTTTTCTCTACACGGTGTTCGTAGATGAATCCCCAGAGACCTTTTAGATGTTGAATTAGAGGTATGTGACTTTTGAACTCAATCCAATGATTAAAAATCTCATGGAGGGATTAGTGTAACTTAAGATCAGATTTTCGTAACAACCAGAAAAAATCTCCTGTTGTTAGGTTAATATCGTAGGCACCAAAATGATGGTACAGCAGCACAGAAGATTGTTTATTTTTTAAAACATCTAGGTCACAGTTGAGCAGCGTGCCTCTCAATAAGCATTCCTGCAGTGACATCATCATCTGCGGGTATCTATTCTAGAAAGGATGCAATTTATATGTATTCGGCCAAAAAATCTAAAAGCACACTGAAATTCGGCTCAGTTTGTACCAGGAATATGATATGATATCATTTTTACCCGCTGCTTCACTTATATGTCCCGCGCTTATGACTCTATTTTTGAGACGTCAAAAACATGACATGGTCAAGCCTGTCTGAGCGGGGGGCCGTGATCAGTAGTGGCATCTTGATCGTCGACATCATGACCACAAAATACATCACTGAGTCAGTTGGGACGGCTGCATCAGGATTACTTTGTTTTTCTGCCAAAAAGCTAATCAAGATAACAAAACTTCAGTGGAAAATATTGCTTGGTCTCACAGTATTGCATCATGTCGTGTAAACATTCCATGTGAAAGCAGACGCACTGGCTCTTGCGCATCAGTTTGTTTGCACCAATTCAACCTATGCTGTAATGTAGATGTTCATTATGACTTTGAGATAACGGTTGGCTTACAACTGGTTACGTCACGTAACTTTGTGAGTCTAGGCAAGGACAAAGTTTTTCCCCCAAAAAGTCCATTTTTGCGTCGATTTATTGATTTACACTTGAGAAATTTGTCATATGCCTATTCTTGTGCAGAGTTAAAGGGAAAGTCTACGGCAACAACGGCGTTTGCGGAGGAACAAATATTTAGTAAGGCATCAATTTGCTTTTGAAATGGCAGGCTGAATATATCGGTGTACACAAGTTTGAAGAAGTATGCACTCCAACAACGAAATTTTACACCTGAGACTGCTGACAAAATGACTAAACATGTGAACCAAGAACACGGTTACCACTGATTATAAAGTTAAGATACGCTTCCGTGCAATTAGGTCCGGTATATTTGGATATAAGTATTGGGCAACACTACAAATAATTTTAAAAACATCAGAAAACGGACACTTAGAAACACAAAGGTAGGTTTTTTATTTATCATAATATATAGTGAATGTTCAAAGCTGTCACTTTTTGGCGACCAGCCTGGGCATTGGTATCCTGACATAAAGGCATTCATATGAACACTTACTTAGAAAACATTGACGGCGTTGATAAGTGAGTTTTGAGCAAATTGGGGAGAAAGTTATCAGGCTCGACAGCTAAAAGATCATGAAAGAATTAAACAACTTGATGAACCGTACATTTAAACCCAGCCAAGATATCAAACCTTCATGAAATATTTGGTTCAGGGACTTTAAGAAGAAAGGAGATGCACTAGTCAAAAGCTAAAATACCCATCCAGAATGGTAAGAGACATCTTTATGAAGTAAATGAAGGGAACCAAGAAGAATAACGGATTGAGTGATGCTATTTGTGGTGGAATATGAACCAGAGAGATCACCCTCAGTCAGGAAAGTATCAAAACAAAAAAGCTTATGCACCACAAGATGTGGTGCTACTTAGTTTACGGTCAGTCCAGTGAGGATTGGAAAAAAGCAAGAGAAGCAATGAAGTTTAGTGTTAAACCACTTTGCTTATGGGTTGAAGGCGTCAGAATAACAAGCGGTGATCATATGCTCGCGAAAAAATTTTAAGTATGACAATTTTAGTGCATGTTCATTCATAAACTGTCACGTATTACATGGTCTGAACAAAATATATTTGAAGTTTATAAGTGAACTTGCCGTTCGGAGCCCATCAGCGCAAAACGCGGCACGCATACAATGTTAGTTATATGTTCCATTTTTTGATTATCTGATTGAATAGATAAAAAAAGTGGAATAACGCTATAAATGTAATCCACTCGCTCAAAACGTTTTATGACCAAACGAGTATGATTGAATGTGCAAAGTCGCACTAGTGGTAAGGAAACCATTTTCAATCTGGTATAGCTCCACTACCTCAAACGTACTTTAAAACCGGCCAACTGCTCAATATTGTAAATTTCAAAGGTCCACCATTACAAATCAGGACTCAGTATGTCTTATTTAACCGATCGTTTGGACCATTTATTGTTTTTTCCCAAGGTTTGGTGGATGTTTTTAAGAAGTCCTAATAGGTTACTCTTCTGTCCCTTAAGAGGATGCGAATATTCCACGCAAATTAGGCCAGCAGAATATCATTTCCTCGAGTGAGAACAACTTCAGAACCGAATAAAAGCTACTTGGTAGTTTCTTAAGGATCTTTCGTGTAATCAGAAAAAAATAACTGTAAAAGTGCTGGTGACAGATTCAGTCATGGACTGTTATGCTGAAAAGCTACTGGTTTAAGCACTACAGCTACATTTATTTAGTATTTCAGCTGATCTCCTCTCTTTGGTCGATGGCTTGTGCATAGCAACGCGGAGTGAGGTTGTTTAGGATATCTGGCACAATATA